CGAAACCCCGTGAAAACACAGCGAAAATGAGCCCCGGTACTCGCATGGAAGGTCGGGCAGCTGTTTTCGGGCCCCTGGGTTAGAACCATCGCGCGCGCTTCGCGCGCGCTCAGGTTCTAGCCCAGGCCGGGGGGGCGCTGGGCGATCTTGGACAACGCTATCAAGCACAGGCGCGCGACGGCATCTGAGGAGCTTCATGCTTCGTCAACTGGCTGTTGGAAGCACCTCTTGGGTGCTTCTTGGGGGGGCGTCTGAGGGTCCCTTGGGGGTATCGGTTCTGCAATCTGAAGCCGTCATTGGCCGTCTTGGCTGCGTGGAGGCCCGACTTGAGGCCACCTGCGGCCAGATTGAGGCAATCCGGAAGCCTCCCAGGGGCTTCCTGGAAGCAGTTTTGATGCATTTGGGGCACTCTTGGGCTAGTTGAAAGCATCTTGGACGTCTCCTGGTGGCCTTCTAGGCCCTCGGGGAAGCTTTTGGGGTCCTCGTCGGACCACTTGGGGGCCTCTTGCGGCCTCCTGTGGGCCTTGTGGGGGGACCGCTCTGCTGTTGGGTCGCGTTACCCTTCTTGGGCCTCTCTTGGGGCTCTTGGGGCCCTCTCGGGCCGTCTTGGGCGCCTCAAGCACCGTCTTGGGGCCCTCGCGGGCCGTCTTGGGGCCCTCTTGGAGGCCTCTTCCTCTATATATGGGAGCGGTATTGGAAGCCTCTTGGGCCGTCTTGGAGCATCGGGATGCCAAAAGGCCGAAAAAAAACGTCAAAGCCCAATAGTAAAAGAATGTGTTGTGCCTCTTGGGGCCACCTTGGGAGATCTCTTGGAACCTCGTCGGCCCTCTTGGGAGCTTCTTGGGGGCCTCTTGGATCCGATTGGGGGCCTCTTGAGACTTCCCGAGACCCTCTCGGGGTAGAAAGCTCGGATTCTCGGTTCGTGTTTCCCTTCTTGGGCCTCTCTTGGGGCCGTCTTGGGGCCCTCTCGGGCCTTCGTGGGAGCCTCAGGCACCACCTTGGGGCCCTCGTGGGCCGCCCAGGGCCCTCTTGGAAGCCTCTTCGGCTATCTTGGAGCTGTCTGGGAGGCCTCTTCCTCCTCCTCGTCCCCCTCCTCCTCCTCCCACTCCAGCTCTCTCTCCTCCTGATCTTCCTCCTCCTCCTGCAGCGTGTTCCGGAAGGCTCCCGCCGGAACATGCTGTGCACAAGTGCTGCCACTGCTGCCGCCAGGGTGCCCTGGGTAGTGGGTCAGAAGCCTCATGGGTGTTGCTTTGGATCTCGTGGTTGGCCTGTCGGGGACGTCGTGAAGGCAGTTAGCAGCTTCTCGGTAGCCGTTTTGGGACCGTTGTGGGGCCTCCTCGGGGCTGTTTTGTGGCCTCTGTAGGCCTCGTTTGGGCCTCTTGGGTGCCTGTTGGCCTCTTGGGGCTCCTTGGGGCCTCCTGGGGCACTCTTCAAGCCGGAGGGTCGAATTTTGGAGGCGTGGTCCCCCTCTTGGGCGCATCTTGGGGCCGTCTTGGGGCTCTGTTGGGCTGTCTTGGGCGACTCTGGGGCCGTCTTGGAGCCCTCTTGGGCCGTCTTGGGGCGCTCTTGGGGGCCTATTGAGCCATCTTGGAACGTCGGACAGCCGAAAAGGCTGGAAAAATCGGTCGACAACCTTTGTAAAATTGACGATTTCGGCCTCTGGAAGCGCTCTGGAGAGGCGTCTTGAAGCGTCGTGGAGTGCCTTGGGGCGCCTCTCGGGCCGTCTTGGGCGTATCTTGGGCGTCCTGGAGCGGTCTTTCGGCGACTCGGGGCCCGCTTGGGCCGTCTTGGGAGCCTCTGGAGGCCCTCCTGGCCCATGGGGGGTCGGAGGCGGCGGCCTCTGAGGCCCAGGACGCAGAAACCCTATAAATATCCCGGCGAAAGACCCAACCATAAGCAATTGTTGGTAACGCGTTGTGGGTGCCGCTTTCGGTGGGGCTCCATATGGGGCCACGAAGCGCTGCCTTGGATGGGGGAACCGCATGCGGACTGCGCCACCGGGGCGGGCCTTCGGTGGAGCTCCCTATGGGGCTACGAAACGCTGCCCTGGGTGGGGGAACCGCATGCGAACTGCGCCACTGGGGCCTTCGGTGGAGCTCCCTATGGTGCCACGAAACGCTGCCCTGGGTGGGGGAAGCGCATGCGAACTGCGCCACGGGGGCTTTCGGTGGAGCTCCCCATGGGGCCACGAAGCGCTGCCCTGGGTGGGGGAACCGCATGCGAACACCCCCACTGGGGCCTTCGGTGGAGCTCCCTATGGGGCCACGAAACGCTGCCCTGGGTGGGGGAACCGCATGCGAACACCCCCACTGGGGCCTTCGGTGGAGCTCCCTATGGGGCCACGAAGCGCTGCCCTGGGTGGGGGAACCGCATGCGAACACCCCCACTGGGGCCTTCGGTGGAGCTCCCTATGGGGCCACGAAACGCTGCCCTGGGTGGGGGAACCGCATGCGAACACCCCCACTGGGGCCTTCGGTGGAGCTCCCTATGGGGCCACGAAACGCTGCCCTGGGTGGGGGAACCGCATGCGAACACCCCCACTGGGGCCTTCGGTGGAGCTCCCTATGGGGCCACGAAACGCTGCCCTGGGTGGGGGAACCGCATGCGAACACCCCCACTGGGGCCTTCGGTGGAGCTCCCTATGGGGCCACGAAACGCTGCCCTGGGTGGGGGAACCGCATGCGAACACCCCCACTGGGGCCTTCGGTGGAGCTCCCTATGGGGCTACGAAACGCTGCCCTGGGTGGGGGAACCGCATGCGAACACCCCCACTGGGGCCTTCGGTGGAGCTCCCTATGGGGCCACGAAACGCTGCCCTGGGTGGGGGAACCGCATGCGAACACCCCCACTGGGGCCTTCGGTGGAGCTCCCTATGGGGTGAGCCCTGGGTGGGGGAACCGCATATCGGTGGAGCTCCCTATGGGGCCACGAAACGCTGCCCTGGGTGGGGGAACCGCATGCGAACACCCCCACTGGGGCCTTCGGTGGAGCTCCCTATGGGGCCACGAAACGCTGCCCTGGGTGGGGGAACCGCATGCGAACACCCCCACTGGGGCCTTCGGTGGAGCTCCCTATGGGGCTACGAAACGCTGCCCTGGGTGGGGGAACCGCATGCGAACACCCCCACTGGGGCCTTCGGTGGAGCTCCCTATGGGGCCACGAAACGCTGCCCTGGGTGGGGGAACCGCATGCGAACACCCCCACTGGGGCCTTCGGTGGAGCTCCCTATGGGGCTACGAAACGCTGCCCTGGGTGGGGGAACCGCATGCGAACACCCCCACTGGGGCCTTCGGTGGAGCTCCCTATGGGGCCACGAAACGCTGCCCTGGGTGGGGGAACCGCATGCGAACACCCCCACTGGGGCCTTCGGTGGAGCTCCCTATGGGGCCACGAAACGCTGCCCTGGGTGGGGGAACCGCATGCGAACACCCCCACTGGGGCCTTCGGTGGAGCTCCCTATGGGGCCACGAAACGCTGCCCTGGGTGGGGGAACCGCATGCGAACACCCCCACTGGGGCCTTCGGTGGAGCTCCCTATGGGGCTACGAAACGCTGCCCTGGGTGGGGGAACCGCATGCGAACACCCCCACTGGGGCCTTCGGTGGAGCTCCCTATGGGGCTACGAAACGCTGCCCTGGGTGGGGGAACCGCATGCGAACACCCCCACTGGGGCCTTCGGTGGAGCTCCCTATGGGGCCACGAAACGCTGCCCTGGGTGGGGGAACCGCATGCGAACACCCCCACTGGGGCCTTCGGTGGAGCTCCCTATGGGGCTACGAAACGCTGCCCTGGGTGGGGGAACCGCATGCGAACACCCCCACTGGGGCCTTCGGTGGAGCTCCCTATGGGGCCACGAAACGCTGCCCGGTGGAGGGTGGGGGCGCATGCGAACACCCCCACTGGGGCCTTCGGTGGAGCTCCCTATGGGGCTACGAAACGCGTGAGAGGTGTGCCGAGAGCAGAGGCAAGGAGGGGGAGGAGGGGGAGGAGGAGGAAGGAACGCGGGGCACCGTCTCTTCAAAACGAGGACCCAACACCACAGGATGGTTGGGAAAAACACAAGGAAAATGAGCCCCCGTCCCGCCATGGGGGGTGGGGGCACCTGTTTGTGGGCCCCCGGCCTGCCCCCCAGGGATATATATATATATATATATATATATATATATATATATATATATGTCAACATATATATGTGTATATATATACACATATATATGTATGCATTGACAACATGGTTGGGGTCTAAGATGGCTGGCATGTAGTCACAATAAGATGAAGTATGCGGGTCAAGGCAAGCGGTTGAGGGCAAATTCGGAGACAGACCTGTCTCACATCACCCGGCCTTCCTGGGACGATGGGGGCTGCAGTCAACGGCACCGTTGCCGATGTCTCTGCGTCGCACCACCTCTCCTATCTTGCATGCCAGCCACACTTCTTTTCAGAGACAGAGAGAGGGAGAGAGAGAGAGAGGGTAAGAGAAGATGGCTCGTGCGTGAGATGGCTCTCGGTACTCTGGAGCATTGGCCTTGGGTTCCAGACGTGGCTGTCCCCAGCCCGCGGCCCGCGGCCGTGGGCAACGGAATCGTTCGCCAATGTTACAGCAGCTTGCGGCTGTGACTGGCCGTGGAGCTGGCTGTCCCTGGCACGTGGCCCGCGGTCCGGGCTGTACCTGCGGAATCCATAGCTCGTGGCCTGTGGCCTGGGTCACGGATCACGTGTGGGTGGGCTCTCAGAGGCCACGCGAGCGATCGCGGGGCGCTCGGGGGTGACGGGGTGCGCTTGGGTACGACGAAGGGCGCTCTGGACGAAAAGGTGCGTCTGCGAGCGACGGGGGGTGCTCGTCGGCGACGGGGTGCGCTCTGCAGCGACGGCAAGCGCTCTGGGGACGACAAAATTGTACCATTGGGGGCGGCGTGACCCATGGCCTGGGTCGTGGCCGGCTTGACCGGTAGCCCGTGACCTGTGCCCCCGCTGCGCCCCCAATATTGCGATCACGTGCTTTTCTCATGATGCGTATGTTTGCCATTCCAGGTGATCCTGCCTTGTGACGCTGTGCTTGCTGAAAGCACACGGGCAGGAAGACAATGCGAGCACAAGCGGTAGCCTACCAATTCTTGACACGGAAGAGACTGCCAACTCTCATGTCGCTCGTGGGCCTCGTGGGGGTCATGACGATTCGGGCGGCCTCGAGACACAGGTAGCACGATGACCGGGATCGTACTTTTATCTAGGCCCCAGGCCTGCCAGGAAGCCCCACGAGGTATGCTTTCGGCCTACAAGAAGGTAGTGTTAATTAAGAGATTGCTGTCGTGTGAAATGCTGAAGGTCCTGGAAAGAGTGGTTCCCATGCCGTCGTGTTGGCGTCGATGGCCGCACGCTTCCCCTGCGGCAGAATAGCAGTGACGTCGACAGTCTGGGCCATTTCGCTGATCAGAACAGCCGCCTGAACCTCGCGAGTTTCCAGCGCCATGCATGCAGCAGCGCGAGTCGAATGACCGCGGAAAACCGTTCTCGCTGCAAAGAAAACTGTCGACGGCCGCTCTACAGGCGGCCCAGAGCTACCGCTGCTGCAGCTCCTTCGTGTAAGCAGCGAGCTTCTTGCGCTGTTCCTCTGGAGCACCAGCAAAGACTGCATAGAAATAAGCTGGGAAACATCTAACTTCGGAGCCCATCGAAGATAGAAGTAGCCGGGGCTGGGAAATCCTTGCACGGGCTGGGGCGAACCGAAACGGGCAAGATGCGCTGGCCAAGGCCGGACCGAATGGGAACTGTCCAAGACTGGATGAAAACGGAAAGACGGGCCCAACACTGTTCAAACTCACCTATACCCACAAATTAATCCGTTTCCACTTTCTCACTCCCCTCCCGCCTTCCCCACTTCCTCTCCGACATCTCCTGGGGCGCGCTTTGGCCAAAGATCTCGAAGCGAATCCAGCCGTTGCGACGAGGGCACGCCCCCGCGACCCCAGCAAGGCCGCCTGAAGTCAAAATCCCGATCGCTCTCGGCGGCTCGGGGCCCTCTTGGACCATCTGCAACGCCTCTTGCAGCCCTCTTGGCCCTCTTGGCCCGTTTTGAGGCCCTCTTAGGGGCACTCTGGAGCCGTGGGGGGCCCTCCTGGGGCGCTCTGGAGACAGCCCGCCCGCCGGGCCCGAAACCAAGACAGATCCGTTCTCTGAACGCGTGCATACTTATTTCGGGTCGGGCGAAAGGGGGGGATAGCAAAGGGGGGGTTTGAGAATCAGCTCACGTAGCTGATTTTCCCGGCGCCTCCCGGCGCCGGAGGCGGCTATGTATCAAGGAATGGGCCCCTCGGAGGGGCCGAAACCAGCTGCATGCAGCAAATTTCGTACCCGCCCCTTTCCCAATCCCCCCCTTTCGTCTGGCCCGATTGTTGTGTTCACGCAGCTTCATGCTGCAGTGATTCGAGGCCCACCGGTTTTTGCAGGGATGTTGTCCTGGCGCGCGCGGCGCGCGCGCAGGGGTAGCACGGCATCACTCGAGAGAGGTTCGTGCACCGGACGCTTGCTGGGTCAGCGCGATTGCACCGCATGGTGAGACGAGACGAGAACGCCGAGCTCGCGTCGGCCTCTGGTGATGTCAGCGCGAGGGCAGAAGTGCAACAAGAAACGACATGAAAACCCAATGGGGACTGCAAAGTGCTCGCCTGAAAGGATAACAGGCATGAATCTGGCACGTTCGGGCACGTGTGGCCCGCAAGGTCTCAGTTGATACGGGCGAATTACACATCGCCCAGCACCTGGCCATTGCGGATAAGCTGGAGGGGGCGGGCGAGGGATGGGTCGCGGGTGGGTCGCGTCGCGGGAGGGTCGCGGGGTGGGTCGCGGGCGAGGACGACGACATCAAAGCAACAACAACAACAACAACAACAACAACACCAACAACAACAACAACAACAACAACAACAACAGCAACAACAACAACAACAACAACAACAACAATAACAACAGCAACAACAACAACAACAAGCAGAATCCACGTCGCGGAGTCCCACTTCGGCCACGTACTGGGGGACAACGAAGGACCGCTCGGCCCTCTCGCTCTGACCTCTCCCCCCGAACAGGCCCGCCTGCAGGGTTCCTACAGTGGGGGCCCGACCACAAGAAATCTGCCACAAGAAACCCAACCCTGAGACCCCAGGACGTCCATCGATGTTTGGTGTGGGAGCGTCTCGATTTCCATCGCAAAACCATCGAAACCCAAGAAACCCGGGGCACCCTGGAGGCGAGCAGGGTGTTTCTTGGCATGAGCCCCCAGTGTACTTCTTGCTCCCCCAGTGGGGCGTGCTTCCTGACGCCGTGGGACGCATGGCCTGCGCTGGCCGGCCTCCCCGGGCTCGTTTGGCACGGCTCCCTTCCTGCGTCTGGCAGGCGTGCCCTCCTTGGGCTCCCCGCTCTGTGGGCCCCGGAAACGGCAAGGCCTTTTTTTTCACCGTTTTCAAACAAAGATGTCCCTAGAAAATGGAAGCGGCAAAAAAACGGCGACTGGAAACGGCAAAAAAACGGCTCCAGGATTGGAACCGGAGCCGGAACCGGTCAAAAAACGGCGACGGAACCAATAAAAAAACGGCGTTGGAACTGGCAACAAAAACGGCAAAACGGAACCGGTAGAAAAACGGCCCTGTCGTTTCCAGGGCCCACTAAGGCTCCCCGGGTTCCTTGGTCTGGCTTCCGTTCCGTGGGCGGAGCAGTGCCAGGCAGCGCCAATCAGTGACAAGACGTGTCAAGTGAAGGCAAGCGATGCCAAGCAACGACAAGCAGTTCCAAGTAATGCCAAGCGATGCCGCACAATGCAAATCAATGCCGAACACTGCAATGCCGCTCAGGACACGTTCCTCTAAATAAGAAGATGGAAGCAGGCCTGCCCGCCCGTCCGTCCCTGGTTTCCTGGATTCTTATCTTGTGCCCTTACTGTTGTTGAAAGGCGGGTCCCCAGGGATCCCCAGAGAAGCAACAAGCAATGCCAAGCAATGCCAAGCAGCGCCAAGCAATGCCAAGGAGGAAGGCCCAGCACTGCTAAATAATACCAAGCAGTGTCAATAGACGCCAACAGTACGAAGCAATCGTGCAAAGCAATGCCAAGCAATGCAATGCACTGCTCAGCAATGCAAAGCAACGCCAGACAGTGCCAACTAATGCCCAGAAACGTCAATCAGTGCAAAGTAACGCCAGACAATGGCAAGCGACTCAAATAATCGCCAAACAAAGCCAATCAAGTCCCAAGCAGAGCCAAGCTATGCCCAGCAATGCCCAACCATCCCAATCAACGCCAAGCAATGCACATCAATGCCCAGCACCGCCGAACAACGCCACGCAAGTGCCAATCAGTGCCAAGCAATACCAAGCAATGCCAAGCGATGCCAGGCAGAGCCAACCCATGTAAAGCACTGCAATGCAACGCCAAACAATGCCAAGCAATGCCGCTCAGGAAGCGTTCCTCTCAAGTGGGGTCGCGCCTGGTCCGTAAGATCAGTGATTCTGTGGCAGGGGTGAGGTCGGCCAGGGAAGATCTTATGCGACAGAGACGAACGGTCCTGCGGAATGGAGATCAGCAAACACTACTACGCCCAAGGGTGTCGCTGCCGTGAAGCCCAGCCTCGGCAACGGGCAGATGCAAATTCTCCGAGCAGTGCTTCCGTGTAAGGTGCTCTTACTTCTCTTGCCCGTGCGACCACATGCGCTTCCAAAGGTGTTCGCCACGTCGGCGCCCGTGCCCGCGGGTGGGCGCCTCGTGGGCGCCCCGCGCTCTGTGTGGGCTCCCCGAGGTCTCGCCGCGTTGGCGCCCGTGCCCGCGGGTGGGCGCCTCGTGGGCGGCGCTGCGCGGATTTCCCGAGACCTCGCCGCGTTGGCGCCCGTGCCCGCTGGTGGGAGCCCTGCGGGCGCCGCGGGCGCTCACGCCGCGTAGCTTGCACTACGCCGCCTGCACTACGCTGCTGGCACCGCATGCATCACACCGCCTGGCTCACATACACACACACACGACGCAGCTCACGACACGTAGGCTTCAGTGCTCAGCTTTCACCACAACGCTCAAACCACATAGCTTACAACACATAGCTCGCACCGCAAAGCCTACACAGCATAGCTTACAGCACATATCTTGCAACACACACGTTCCACCTCCACAGTGCAATAACTCACGGTTTGGGTCCACGCTGGCTAACTTGTAGGAAAGCAGCTATATGTGTGTGCATACAGAAAGCGCCAACCACCCCACGGTGCAACCGATCGAGAACCTGGAGTGGCCAGCCAGCAAAATGGGCGCTCATGAGCCCGCTGGGGGCAACCCAGGGAACACCTGGAGAACCTACCCAGCGCACGGGGCGCCTACGAAAGCCAGGCAATGTCAAGCAACGCCAAAGAATGCCATGCCATGCAAAGCACGGCACAAAACAATACGGCACCATGCCAAGCACCCACGCCAAGCAATTCCTCGCAACACAACGCAATACCAAGCAATGCCAAGCAACGCCATGCAATGCCACGTAATGTCAAACAATGCCAAGCAACGACAAGCAACGCCGAGAAATGCCAAGCAATGCCAATCGGTGCCAAGCAATGACAAGCAATACCAAGCAATGCCCAGCATAGCAAAACGATACCAAGGAATGCAACATTTCAAGCGATGCAAATCCATGCAATGCGAAGCAATACAAATCAGCGCCAAGACATGCCAAGCAATGCCACAAACAACACGTAATTCCACGCAATGCCAGGCAATGCCAAGCAACGCCACGCAATACCCAGCAATGCAACGCCAAGCAATGCTAATCACTGCACGGCCCAGCAACGCAATGCAATACAAAACAACGGCACGGAATGCCAAGCAACGCCAAGCATCGCTAAGCAATGCCAACCAACGCCAAGCAATGCCAAGTAATGCGAAGCAACGGGACGCAATGCAACGCAATGCAACACAATGTAATGCCTTGCGACGCACTACAAAACCAAACAAAACAAAACGACGCCGCTTACGAACGGTTTCCCCCAAGTGTGGTCGCGCCGGGTTCATGGCTCCAAGAGGGCCACAGGAAGCTCACGATTACTTGAACATAGCGCAGGATCGCTCAGTATAGCTTCACACATGTTCCAAGAGGCCCCGATATCGCTCCAAGGCAGCTCAAAGTGGCCACAGAACCGCCCAAAGATGTCCCCAAGAAACACAAATCCCCCCATCACCTCACGGGGATCGATCTATATTGCCTTCTCACCGTCTCGTTTCTGATGGGTTTTGGGTGGCCTCAAGGTGGCTCTGAGATTGCCCAAGGGGCTTCAAGACGGCCCTAACGTGCGCCCAAGAGCGATCCACGAGCCCCAAGAGGGCCCGAAGGGGCATTGATTGGGCCTCTGTTTGGGGACCCCTCGTTCTTTGGCCCACATCCTCCAAGATGGCCCCAAGAAAGCGCCCAAGAGAACCCACATATATCCCAAGAGGGCCCCAATATGGCTCCAAGAGGGCCCTGTCCTCCAATATGGCCTCAGCAGGGCACCCAAGTAGCCCCAACGGGAAGATCCAGGTGAGCTGCCAAGAGGCTCCCTTCTGGAAAGATCCAGGGAGGCAATTATTGTTGACTCCTGGGCATGCTCAGGGAGATCCCGATCTTCTGTTCGACGGCTGTCCCCCTCTCAACCACTGCGCACTCCCGTACTTCCCTGATCAACGCAACTAAGCATCGTTGCTTGGTGGGATGGTGGGGATATGCGAAGTGTCAACAGCTACGTAGAGGATAAGTAGGAGCACCTTCGTGCAAAAACTGCTCGGATGAATATGTATGTTGCATGCTGTATGTTATGTTCTGTCGTTAGGTCTCACTCTCTCTGTCTGTGTCTGTCAGTATCTTTCTCTCTCTCTCTCTCTCTGCTTAGGTTCTAGTCAGAGCTGATTCAGGGCTTCGCTGTGAATTCCAGCACGCTGTATCTCTGACGAGCTCGATCGAGACCGCGAAGTCATCCTACACTGATTGCGTCGCCAGCATTGGTCTCAAACACGCAACTTCGCGCTCGCTTAGGTTTTACCGCAAACGTACCCGATTGCAAACTCGACTTTGGACGACGCGGCGACGACGACGGCAGCCGCTGGAAAATTTTGAAGCGCGTCACGGCGGATCTCGAGGGGCGCCCACGAGGCCTCCAAAGCCGTCTGGGGCACCTTTTGGGCCGTCTCGGCGCCCGCTTGGGGTCTTTGAGGCAGTCTTTGGGCGATACTTGCGGCTTCCTGGGCCGTCTTGCAGCGTCTCCAAGCCGAAAAAGTAAGAACTCCCAAATCATTCAAACTGAAAGGACAATCCATCACTTGTGCCTCTTGAGCGCCTCTTGGGAGGCCTGGTGGGGGCTTCTTGGAGCGTCTTGGAAGCCTCTTGGGCCTTCTGGAAGCTATCGTTCGCGTCTTGGAGCGGATTTTCTGCGATTCTCTGCCCTTTTGGAGCCTTTTGGGGCCTCTGGGAACCCTGGTGTCCTGTTTTGGTGGCTGTCTTGGGCCGTCTGGGGGCGGGCGCCCGGGACGCTCATAGAGAGGTTTTTTCTGCCGTCACGGCGGCCGATTGGGGGCCTCTGAGGCCGAGCTGGGGCGATACTTGGGGCGTCTCGGACCGTGTTGGAGCGTCGCGTGAAACCGACAATGGAGAAAAGCTGACATCCAGCAAAAATCTCAGGATAATCAATTCATGTTGTCTCCTGGGGCCATCTTGAAAGGCCTCTTAGGGCTTCTTGGGGCGTGTTGGAGGCCCCATGGGCCGTCCAGAAGCCATCGTGGGCGTCTTGGAGCGGGATTTCGGCGATTCTCGGCCCTCTTGGAGACTTTTGGGGCATCTTTGGACCCTGGTGTCCTGTTTTGGTGGCTGTCTTGGGCCGTCTGGGTGCGTCCCCGGACGCCCAGGATGCCCAGAAAGGGCCTTTTTCTGCCGTTTCGGCGGCCGCTTGGGCGCCGCCGAGGCCGTGCTGGGGCGATACTGGGGGCGTCTAGGACGTTTTTGGGGCATCTGGAAGCTGAAAAAGAAACACTGAAATCAATCAAAACGCGTGGGATAATCACAGAATTTTGCCTCTTGGGGCCCTCTTGAAAGGCCTCTTGGGGCTTCTTGGGGCGTGTTGGAGGCCCCGTGGGCCGTCCAGAAGCCATCGTGGGCGTCTTGGAGCGGGATTCTGGCGATTCTCGGCCCTTTTGGAGCCCTTTGGGGCCTCTGGGAACCCTGGTGTCCTGTTTTGGTGGCTGTCTTGGCCGTCTGGGGGCGTCCCTGGAAGTCCGGGATCCCCATAGAGCGCCTTGTCGGCTGTCTCAGCGCCCGCGTGGGGGCCTCTGAGGCCATGCTGGGGCGATACTTTGGGCTTCTATAGCCGTGTTGGGGCGTTTGGAAGCTGAACATACAGAAACGCTAGAATCAAGCAAAACAAATCATTGAATTTTGCCCCTTGGGGCCCTCTTGGGAGGCCGGTTGGAAGCTTCTTGGGGCGTGATGAAGGTTCCTAAGGCCGTCCGGAAGCCATGGTGAGCGTCTTCAAGCTAGAGCGTTTTGGGGCCTCTGGGAACCCTGGTGTTCTGTTTTGGGAGTTGTCTTGGGCCGTCTGGTGGCGTCCCCAAGGGCCCGGTCCCCCCATGCCCTGGGGAGGTCCCTGGGCGCGGCCAGGGGGCCTCGTCCCCCAGGATATATATATATATATATATATATATATATACATATATATAGTTCTATTCATATAACTATATATACACACATATACAACTATACATATATATACATATATATACATACATACATACATACATACATACATACATACATACATACATACATACATGCATACATGCATACATACATACATACATACACACGCACATACATACATACATACATACATACATACATACATACATACATACATACATACCTACATACCTACATACCTACATACCTACATACCTACATACCTACATACCTACATACCTACATACCTACATACCTACATACCTACATACCTACCTACACACCTACACACCTACCTACATACATGCATGCATGCATGCATGCATGCATGCATACATACATACATATAGACATATGTATCATATGTTTCGCACTCTCTCTCTCTCTCTCGTTCCTGTCTCTCCTTCTCTTTCTCTCACACGCCGCAGCTCCTTCGCGTCATCCTCTCTCCTCCCCTCCTCCCTCCTCCGCTCTTCCCTCTCCCCCAGTCTCCTCCGCCTCCCACATGGATAAACTCATGCTCGCAAAGTCAAACTCTGGGACACGTTTGGGCTTAAACCCGATCCTCGAGGCGGAGCTGCTCCACTGCCGACTGCAATCTGCCCTGCAAGAACTGGTCCAGCACGAAATTCTTGCCCAACCGATTTCACAAAACCCAAACATACAAGAGCCACTACCCCCTGGAGGTGGAGGAGGAGGAAGAGGAGGAGGACGAGGAGGAAGAGGAGGAGGAGGTGGAGGAGGGGGGAATCGGGGGCAAGTGGGAGGGTAAGGCAGTGGCCCTGGTGATGGTTGGGCTTTGGACATGCTCCGACACGCGGTTCTCCTTGTAGTTATAGCTGCGCACCTTCTCGGACCGATCCCCGGTCCCCATCTGCGCAGACCGAAGGTTGGAGTAGGCCTTGTCCCTCTCCTGGGCGTTTTGCCGTTTGCCCCGTCACGGGCGCCTGCTGCCGCTGCCACGCGCGAGCTTGCACTGGCCCGCGAAAGCCTGGCTCCTCCACTCCTTCTCCTGATACGTCACTCCTCCCTGTCGCGCCCCGAAGCCACTCGGAAGGGCGGGGCTGGCGCTTCGTTTGAAACTGATTTACCATCTGTGATCCTGAAGCTTACAACCTGGCAGCAATGAGTGGCGGCAGTTGGTTTTCAGAACGGGGCTCCCGCCCCAGCGCCGCGCCCATTCGTTTCAAAACTCGCAAGAGCTTCGCGGATTGAGGGCGGATGGTTTCCAAAATGTGGTTCTCGCTTTAGCCCCGCGCGCGCTAGAGGAATCTGCAAGCGCTTCACGGATTGAGGGCGGGTGGTCTTGAACATGTCTGTAAGTTGTACGGGTGTGGCTGTATGGATATAGAGAGACACGAAGTACAATTAGGGGGACCCGTGCTAGAAGAGAGCACGTTATCTTTTCTTCTACGGAGGCGTGGGCGCGTCCGTCACCGGCGCGTCATGAAACGAGGGCCCTTGTGAGCCGAAATGGCGGCGCACTAGGGAGTGCAGAGAGAGGCGCGGGAGGAGGAGAGGCTGACAAGGGCTCTGCAACCACAACTCCAACCGTTCTTGCAACCGGAACGCCACCTCGGCTCAGAAGATGAAATGTTACCCTCAGTAGATACTGCAGCCATTGCACGTACTACCAAAGCCTAAATGACGTGCAGCTGGTACAACTTCACGAACACGTTGGACTCGAGAACGCTTCTAAGAGAGATCCTCGAACGGATTGTCTGCATCGAGGTCCGTGATGACAGCGAAATCATATGACTTCGCTGCGTCTGTGGCCCGCCCCATCTGGTCCATGAAACTCTGTGGCTCGGTTCCACGGTGGCGCACGTTTTGCCCGTGCGCTCCAAGAGCCGATCTGCCGCACTGAGCTCCTTGGTCCAGTGAGAAACCCACCTCTCGTCCTTTGGTGCCGCTTGACCTCGAAAGCCGGGAAGTCGGAGTCCCCGATCGCTTCACCTGAGTACGCGAAAACACTCGGAACGACGTCGGCATGGCCCTTGCCGCGAGGTGCATCCTGACCGTGCGATTCCAGATCTTGCGCCATCCAGGAACTTTTCGCCTGTATCCTGCCCCAGATCTCCCTCATCGCCGCAGCGTGGATCCAGAGCGCCTCCATGTAGACGCTGCCTTCGGTCGGGCACCACTGCTCGTGGACGCGCTGCTCGGGGTAGCCTGCGCGAGGGTGGCGATCCACTTGCAGCTCGAAGATGCATGAGTACAGGTTCCTCTCTGGGCTGACGTCCGACGACGCACGCACCACGCAGCGAGTGCAAGAGGCGCGGCGAGACGTCCTCTCACAGAAACTACCGCGGACGTTCTCACCGCTCGAAGGTCCTGGCTTCAGCTCGAACAGCCCCCTCTTGCCCCAAATAGATGCCAATGCTGCCGGGTTGGCACCGTGATAGGCAGTCTCGATCTGGGCTTCTCTCTTGTTAAACTCCTCGTCTTGCTGCGTCTCCCGAGCACATGTCGTAATCAGATCCATGATCCACCATTGTCCAGCTGGACACGCCACGGGCCCATTGACATGAGGACCCTCGACAAGTCCTGAGATATGTGCAGAGTACAGCAGGGATCTGAATCCCAGAGTGAGCTCCCAGAGCCAACGCGACCAAAACCGTCTTAGTGAAGGAGGGCGTCGAGCGGTTGTCCCTCGTCGCTTCGACATTGTGGCTCGTCTTCCAGTGTTCGCTCATCAAATGTCGAAGACATTCCAGTATTCCTGGAGAGCCTCCAGTGAGCGCTGATGTGCTTTTCTTCAGGTCCAAGAAGTGCCCCACACTGAAATGCTGGCGCTAATTCCAGTCCTTGAGCAGCGGTGTAGTGATCAATAGTCACCACTGCCTTCATGGCCTCGGTGACAGATCCGCTCATTGGTGGAAGATTCTCGACGAAGCCTTTGAGGGCGCCCACTGCGCCGTTCAACTCGCTGGGGTTCTCCAGTTTGCGCGCCATTTCTTCTCCGCCTGCTTCGCCGAAGATCCTGATCTGGCCCATGATGTCCTCGATGGCCTTCGCGCCACCTTTCGCCAGCCCCCCCCCTCAACTGTCGACCATCATCTGCTGATTTTCCAGTGGACGACGCCGCGGTTTTCTACCGGTCCTCGGGATGTCGTCGCAGTTCACGTTGGAGATAATGGCCAGCGCTGCAGGTGCCCAGCGAGGCAGGTGGCGGCATGACATCGCGACGAACTCTGACAAATGGTGCGGATCAGAGGGATCATTGAATTCGGTGTCCGTGCGCACCTGAAACTATGCGTGCGGAGGTCGACGTAGTCCCTGGTCTCGTCTCCATTCTTCAGGCAGTCCTGCGCGACTTCGCCCTCGAATGCGTCGCGCGACTCAACCAGACTCTGCGCGATGCCCAATGGCATTTGCGTCAGCAACTTGAGCCAAGCGCAAACGCGTAAAGTAGGCTGTCTCGGGCACTGATGGTGCACAGCCATCATCTCCGACGCGGGGTCGTTGAAGGTCTCGCTGGAAATTGGATTCTGAGCGGACGGCTGAGCACCGCTCTTTAATATCAGGTAATAGATCACATCGTCGGCGGGCCAACGTCTGTTCCTCTCGAGTTCATATGGTTTGTCCTTCATCACCTCCGCCTGTTTCATCAGGCCTTGCCTCATCTGCAGCGCCCTCTCTCTTTCTCCACCTTCAGAACATAGCCCCACGGTTGTTCGCATGCCGGTAGCAGGTCTGGCAGAGCGATGCGGTCCTCCACGGTGATCCAGGCGCGGCGGCGATCTCCGGCAAGAAACCCAGATTCTGAACACCCAGGAGGCCTGCGCTGCGACCCCCCGCACAGGGATGTGCAGTCCAGCATCTTCGCTCAGTTCCCGACATGCCGCGTTCCTGGCAGCGCAATCGAAGTCCAGGTCTTGCTTGTGCGCAACGTTCGGATCGGCGCGATCCACTTGTCCTCCTGGAGTGGCGACCGCATCCGGATCGCGGTCTCCTTGGCGGCGTGGTCAGCGAGGTAGACGTTGAGGCGAGGACGCTGTGCTCCTGTCACAGGTATCTTGGTTCCTCTCGCCGCTGGAGCTTCGCCCTCTGGCACCCCTGGAGACGGCAGCAGGTCTTCTTGCTTTTCCTCCTCTGATTTGGCCAGACCATCGGCGACGGCTCTCTTCTCGATGCAGACCTCGTAGGGCGTCTCGTACTGCAGTAAGACCTTGTCTCAATAGACGCGTCCTCCGCGATGACTTCCCCCTGTCCGTCGTCGCCCTCGCTCGAGCCTTCATCCTCGCCCTCGACCTCCTCGATCTCCTCGAGCTGCTCGGGCTGGCGCTAAGCCTTTCGTTTCGGCCGACGCCTCCGATGCTTGTCCCTTCTTGCTTGGATTGCCCCCTCGGTCATAGGTTGAACTCGCGCACGGCCTAAGTACTTCTGGGTAGGTTCTCGGGCCCCCCCCCCCCGTGTGTCCGCTGCTTCCTCCCGGTCCGCCATCGTGCTGAAGTGGCCTCTCCTGCCGTGCAAGGCGCGCCTGCTCCCATGGCGGCGATTCCGCGGCTGTCTCTTGAAGTGGCGGTTCCTGGAGGCCCAGGTGTGGAAGTTCAAGGAGAATTGCGCGAGCTGGTTCATTCTGGAACGCAGGACGCATTGCATCTCCGAGCGCACAGCGAACTTGCGGGGGAAGGTCGGCAACCCCTCAGCGCAGTCTGCAAGACTCGCGGCCGTTGCATCGAAGGCCTTGTGCTCCAGCCTCTCGAGTTGGCGTGGAGTGCACACGGGCCCGTGATCCGCCTCGATGCGCTGCTTGGTCAGTGCTGTCCTGGTCTGCTGTAAGTCGAGATGCCGCTGCAGTTTGACCCGTTGAATTTCAGCGCGGGACTCCTCTCCCGCTTCCTGGAGATGAACGATCCTCTTCATGTGGACCAGTGAGCCACCTTCGGCATCATGCATCTTCGCGAGCACCTGTCCCAGACGACGAACTTCCAGCTCGAGTTTTTGGGCCGTCGCCATGAGGAGTGAGATGTGAGCCTTGACGTGATGGACATTTGGTAGCGAGTCTGATGGCACCCACACGCTCGTGACCTCCTCAGGTAGCTCGAGGCGGTTGGCGCAATCGTCGAGGGTCTTGTTGTCGTCCACGCGGCGTAACCATTTTTTTCAACTCTGCGTGTCATGATCTTCTGGCTAAGGCCCGCTTTCGTCTCGCCCCTCTTCTCCTCGGCATCAGATGGCAGGGGCTACTTGTTGGTATCCAACCTGGCCTCGTAGTCCACGACATCGCTGTCGCTGACGGCGTGTGCGATGACGCCGCGGCCTTTGCTGGACTCGAAGCGACCCAGGGAGCACGGATTTTGCATGTCGGTGACCCTTCGCGGCTCGTCACGCAGCTCTTCGTCGATCTCCATAGTTCCCACGTCGCCCACGCCCGCGGGGTCCTGGAAGTGGGAGTTGGGGCGAGTCCCCTCCAGGGTTCTCTGGGGAAGATCCCGGCTGGTCTCACGCACCTCGTCTGCGTCTTGTTCTTCCTGGCGATCGTGGTGGAGAGACGTGCGCGGATGGCCTTCAGGGGGCGCCGCTGGCGCCAAGCTGTGGGAAGCAGCCCAGGAGTCGTCGGCCGACGCAGCCGCTGAGCCGCCTGAGCCGACGCCCATCTTCTCGTCGTAGTCCTCACAATCGTAGAACGTGTCGCCCATGACGTCGACGTCGCCGTCGACGTCGGCGAGATCACCCTGTGCCCCCCCGGAGACGGGTGGATCTTCGAGTAGGTGCACCAGGGGTCCAGGCTCTGGGCCCATGGGCGGCATAGCTCCGCAAGTAGGAAGAATCTCAATCACAAAACCCAACCAGCAAACTGTAAACGGCGGCGCGCCATCACAATATGCTGACGCATCCGCTGCACGAGGAGGGCAATACAGAACATCGCACACCCAAAAGGGATGAGTCTGCATCAGGTTGGATAGG